CAGCTTACTCAGATGGGCTGTTTGCTCGTTTGTCACCCTTATTCTATTAAATGTATATTGAATTTATGCATGTCATCATCATAATTACGGTCTATCAAATTCCACTGCTAAACATACGTCTTTCCCATAGATTGTCTCATTTGGGTAAATATTTACTATAATTGCTACGATTGGCAGGCGGGTTACGATAGGATCGGAGGCGGTTAAAAAAATACGGATATCACTATAGTAATAATATGTCAGCAGCACATGAAATTGATGAATTGCTGTGTAGCAGCAGCGTAAAAGAATCAACTTTATCTTGTCATAAGAGTCGATAGATGGAAATGAAATAGGTGAAGGAGAGCAGCAACTCCTTATAATGATAAAATGTCCACCGTTGCAAACTCGCCTGTCAAACGTGGTCACTATAGTAAAAATCTTCTAACGATAATAAATTAATATAAGAGTCTTTAAATTGCAAACTTATTTGATTAGATTCATTGAGCCATAATGATAGAGTAGATATACGTGGTAGAGCCATGCTGCAGTTATATTAGTTGTATAGTTGTAGCACGAATGGGTCGTCTCGACCGGGGAAGGACCACGCTCTCACAGAATACCAGCGTAAAATAGTAGCTTAATGCTGCTGTGTTTCGTATGGAAAGTGTAGAAAACCGGACCCGTTTGTACTGGAAATGAGGCATTCCATCTTACTCCTCACGGGTGACAACGCGTCTAAATTTTGATTCGTAATCGAGGATACATGTAGGTGAGTGATGAACGAGGTGGTGATACATGTAGGTGACTGATGGTAAGTGGCCCCATGGGCCACAGCAACCACTTAACATCAGGTGAACTGTGTGCTTGTTTGTCACCCTATCTTATAAAAAAAGTATTATGTTTCAAATCCATTACTGCTCCATAGCTTCCTAAGAAGTCCTGCTCCAGAATACCCGTGGGACTTAAGTAGCGAGTCAACTCTGTCATATATTGTCAACTGTATACATAATTACATAGTACCCGGTTGACCGAGTTTTTTTTTAATTCGTGTGTTTTGGAAATTATATTTAGATACAAATTACATACTGATGAAATACGACTAATATTTTTGGATCTTAGCGACATAATAAAAAAAACTGAACTGCTTATTTGAATAAAAAATCATGAGTGCAATTAGTTTAATTTAAATTTTCGTGTTTTTAAAAAATACTAAAAAAAAGGGCTCGAAAAAAATAGATTTTCTCAAAAAAGAAAGGAACTTGAAAAAAAATTTAAAAGAAGTCGGTCGGTCGGTCTGGGCTCGAACCATGGTATTACGATTTTGTGACCGCCCAATATACCAATTAAGCTATTTGTAATCATTAATAAATTGTCAAAATTTACCTTCTTCTTCTAACGATATTGTAGCAGTTTTTCATTGCCTAAAAACACGGACAAAAAGACATTTTCTAAAAATAAATGCTAGCTAGATCGATTTATTGCCCCCGTTGGAGCCGTTTCCGAGATTCCGATTATATATATATATATATATATATATATATATATATATATATATATATATATATATATATATATATAAGAATTGCTCGTTTAAAGGTATAGGATCTGATTAGTTGAACCTTACCACTCATTTCATTTATAGTTATGTTTTATTTGTTGATTGGTATATTAAAATCTAGAACATGCCTTTATTTTATGGCCGAAACCGAAGCTCCTGTATCTATGAGCCAATTAAACGTGTGTATGTTGTTATAAAATAACTCTATATAATAACTACTATCGCTGACTAATATACTATAATATATTATAGGCACAAAAATTCATTTTAGGTTACGAATCATATGTTGATGAAAATCAGTTCCTGCTATTCTAATCTATCCACTAAACTGTCTACGACCTCTACAAATATTATTAAAAAAAAATCTTGATATTGAGCTCGGTCCCGAGGCACTACTGCCAGCGGCTGAGGCTGCTGAAACCACTCTCTAGTGGTGCCACGTGGCTGCCACCAATTGTTGCTGGGACCCCACCAATGGCCAGCGTTGTACGTACCCCTCTGATACGGAGGCTGCCTGGAATTGTTATTAAAGAATCGATTATTATTAGGCCTTAGTGTTAACAACTGAGCTGCTGAAATTTAACCTGAAATGTCCTTGTCAATTGTAAGTTGAATCGCATCTTTCAATGAGCAGTAGTAATTGCACCAATACTATGATTTGTCAATCCATCGCTAAATTGCTTAATTACCTGTTTTCCGTTTATAGATTTGAAAATATTAAATTCCCTAATATTTCCCATTTCCCTCAGATTGGTAAATTGTAAGATCGACTAATAACTCGGATAAGGTTTTTCCAAAAGCATCAATAGACGCATCATTTTGTTTACCAATTAGGGGATATAGTAAGTCAGTTCAAATTATAATTTCGTCCCCACTTGCCGCGCGTCGTATGCTATGTATGTATCGACATGTTTGTAATCACTAATACTGTAAGTAGAAAGGTCGTTAGACACTTATTTCATTAGGTTTATCATATTTATGCCTGTTTCTTAACGCCAAGCCAGTCGCTTCTTATTTTTATTACGGTTATTTCCCATTTTAATTTTACGTCGTCCTGTTGCGTAATGTATATTCTGATCGTAAGCGACACAACCCCCCCTTCAAAGGCCGAAGCGAAGTGACCGGGCGGCAGGAATCACGCTTCAAGAGGCCGATAGTTTAGGTAGTTTCTTTTTACAGTGAAAATAATGGTATTTTAAAAAAGTAAATAACATAAGCACTGCTTTATAGTTAGTTCAGTTAGTATGCAAAGTTTCATGATCTTATTTAAAGTATTTTATGAATAACAGCGGTTTATTGTTTATTTTGGAGGTAACTTTGGATTTTTTTCTATCAAGAAAATTTTACGAAATCGTGTTTTCGTCTAACATAATCCTTAACATTAATCCTCAAAATGATTTCTTATATTTACGCGAACACTACACATTGATTAAAACTACTTTTACGGATTAATCCTCAACTTTACCATACATTTATTTCAAAATTAATGCTGCATTATTTTCGGCATAAGGAAGGATCTTGCTAAGCCATTTGAGATTATATTTCCCCTTAAAAATAGTTTTTGTAAAGCGTTGGCAGACTTTTGATAACAATAATAGTTTCATATCATTTAAAAGATTAGACACGGTATCATAGTTTGTTGCTAATTTTAGCAGTCAACTTTTCAAAAATATTTAATAAAAATAATAAAAAATATAATTATTTCACTTACAGCCTTACAATAAAAAGGAAAACGTAACCCAGATGTTCCATTCCTATTATGATATTTTCATTACAGTTAGTAAAATTTCCATTGCTAAACTATGCTTAATCTATAGATTAAACTCATAGAAAGGATCTTTGCCATTGCTGTCACACTTGTCTTGTGTATGATGATTACTGTTCTGTTACAGATAAATAAATAGTGATAAAGATAAAGCTACTTTTAAATATTAATGAAAATATTATTGGTAAATTTAAGAGATATCTAATCGCCCATTTCCCTCTTCCGCCATTAAAGGCTGGCTGGCGCCACGTTTCATTCAAATTATCCGTGGTGCCTAATTACTTCCCGCCAATTATGATCTATCTTGGTTATAAGTACATTTATTGTTCGAATGATTTCAAAGATCACAAGAGGTTATCTTTTGTAAAAAGTAAATGCCGAATTCAAAGAAATAAAAATAATAAAATATTTTTATAATATGAAGTCGGTTCTTAGTCTATAGTATGGTTTATAAGACAATTGAAGCCCCGACTATTAAAATATTACACACTTCAAAAAAGTTTACAATCTGGCAGAAGCTGATATATTTTTTAAATTTAACTTTATCAAGAAAAAGTGTTTACGTCATACCTTTTTCTTTTAAAATAGAAATACACGGTTTGAAATTAAAAAATAAAAGTCTTTTTAATTATTTAACAGAAATTTAATTGAAAGAAAAAGATTGTTTAACCAAACTTATACAACAATTCATTAATAGAAGGTTTTTATTTAATACAATATAAGTAACTCCTCCCAGCCTCAAAGCTCAAACACATGTGGAGATCTTCTTCTGGGCATTCTGAGGATCAAGTTATCCAGCACATTTTGTTCCCTGATCTCTGACATTGTCTGGGGAGGTGGCTGATGGTTCCAAACAGCTCATTACAGTCGTGATGTCGTATTCTCGGAGAGCAGCATTAACTCGTTGAGCTCGACGTGTGGGCATATTATCATCAATCTGTATGAATTAGTGCCCATGGTTTATTTAGAATGGCCTAACAATTCCATCTATAGCGACTGTTATCTGGATGAGTACTGATTTGCGATTCGTTATGAAGAGATAGGTTGCCAAATGTTTTCCTTCCCATCTTCTTCATTTTGCCGGAGCCTAGCTCATTGCAACCTCCTTTGGTGATATTGCCGTGATTTCAGAGGGTCTCGCCAAGACCTCGGTGCTCGTAGTCTAGCCTGGTGTAAGTAATTTCGAATTGTCTGAGTAACTGTAACTGTGCTAACTTCAAGTCCTGTGGTGGCCCGCACTTCGGCTTTTATTGCAGTGGCGTTGATTGTTGAATAACGGACTGTCAGAAATCTAATGTATTGCGCATCTCAGCTGCAGTCAGAACAATTAGACGATCATTGCGGGGTCAGCTAAATTACTTTAGCTAAATTACTGTGGTACCTCCGCAACGTGACCACGACAAAAGATTGGCATACAGCAACTCTGCGTGCTATTACTCTCGTGAAATATCCCTCTTCATTACAATTCTTCCTCCTAAAACATCTGATAATCCTCTTGACATTTTTAAATCACAACTTTTCTCGAAAAAGTATTGTAAATCCGTTAAAATTAACTGAGATTTCTGAATGATTGAATATATTTTTATAAGGATGTTTGACGATATTTTTGTATGAATTGTTTTATATTCTAATTCTATATTTTTAAACAATAATATATAAAGAAAAATACCAACAAAAAAATTCCAGTGCAAACCTATGGTTCGCGTTGAAAATTTTCAAAATTTTTGGACTGAACTTCAACAAGTATATGCTCAAGTTCTAGCTCTGGGAAACCTAAATGAAGGCATATCGAATGAGGATGTAGAAAAAAATGGTGATCCCTTAGGCCCAATTACTGAAGGCTCTGATCCTAGCATTGCGGACGTAGAAATCCAAGGCAATGATAAAGTTGACACTGGCAATCATGAGATATCAGATGTTTAATTCTCTATAGTGATTTAAAGTATGAATGTAGAGCAGAAAAAATTATTTAAGACCATTACGATGAAAATCAAAGGAAAGCTATGAAATGAGCTGATACAATGAAATTATTTATAACAGGCGTATGTATGCGTAGGTATATGGATGTGGAGGAGGCGAAAGAGGTGTGTCAGGATCGTGACAAATGGAAGTCCGTGGTCTTTGCCTTATCTTTTGGGTGACAGGAGTGAGTGTTTATGTTTATTTATGTTTGTTACTGATAACAAGAGGAGTAAGATCCGGTAAAGATGAGTCTAGGGAACCCAACAACTATGCACGGAAACCACCTGCTGCTATTGCAGTGGAGTCAAATAACACAGGAGGCTTAGTATCACAAATAAAATTGGGTGTGGGACATGAGTGATGTTGAAGGATGATCATCAAGATCAACGAAGGATTAGTAAATGGCAACATGGGTTTTGTTCATGGTTTTCAGTGGGAAGGATTAAGAAGTGACCAGCCGAAAGATAAAGAGCTACCTAAAATATTTCTTATCCAATTTACTTTATTTTAAAAGTTACCATGATGAAAATGGTTGGTTAGGCATAGTTTCAATGGGTGTATTCTTTTAAGGCAACGAAAGTACTGCCAAAATAGAAAGGGTAATGAAAGAAAAAAGAGAAAGAGTGCATAAATTACAAGGTACTATAGTCGATAAGGTAGTCATATATTTTGAACCTAAAACATTTGCCAAAGGCAAACCATTTGTTGGTCTTGGTAGAGTACGATCTTTAGATGGCGTATTACTGAGTAAATGATCTAAAACAAAGAAATATCTTTAACAATCCACATAATAACTTAGTGCTGGAAGAGTCAGCGCGATTGAGAAGCACGTTACTGGCCCAAGTTACCCTGACAAAAGACTATTGAACTAGGGCCCATCGGTAGTCCAACTAGACGAGTAACAAAAGGGAGGGTCCAACTGACCTATGGATAACTAAACTATACCGACTAACAAAGAAGCAAGCAACACTTACCGATTGGCGGAGGTAGGGTTAACCACAGGGCATCTGTCAGGTGAAAGGTGATGTGCACGTGAGTGGTATGCAGTAATGTGTTCAATGTGTAACCTGACATCCTCGCTGATCCTGAACAGCAGATCCCAAGGCGCTGCCTCTCTCTAATGGTAGGATCCATCCAAGGGGACGTTCACCAATGGAAAACCTCCACTTCGGTTTTTACTATATTAGTTTATCAACTTTATTGTCCATTTAATGAACTTCAATTCAACCAATTCAACGTTATTCGACATTAAAACAAGTAACACGCTGCACAACTTATGGACGGTTGGTCAAAGTTCAAAGTTCCAGGTTCACTTAGCACAACTACTAACTCGTCGATGTTGATGAATTAACGGCATAAAGTTCCTTTAATCACTACAAATTCCAAGTAGGCTTCCTGTCACGTAACACGTCAAAACAGACAACTAAATTCGAGGCGGTCTAGACTATACTCAAATATTCAATAGTAAATTCAAAATGGCGCGCACAATTAACACAAGACTTAGGCATTCGAGTCAACACCTGCCACGCGCAACCGTATACCAGTCACAAACAATACTTCAAACGGTTACAACAACAATTATATTATTTCGGCCTCGTTATCACGGAAACTTACAAATATAAGATAACACAAGGAGGCTCTCAACGTATAATTGACCCGGGCTTCGCGCAAATAAACTCAAGAAATAAGCTTCGTTACTTGCGTCACGGTTACGTACAAATATAAGATAACACAAGGAGGCCGCCCTTTCGACGCAAAATTATATCAAACTCGCAACCCCCAATTCGAGCCGGTAGATTATGTAACGCCCGACGTTTAACTGGCGCGGGCGCAGCACCCAAAGGCTTCCTGCCGACTGCCACGATCGCTTTGCGCTTACGCCGCAGCTAGCCTCCCCTCCCGCGCTACGCTAACCGTTTCCTCACCCCGCTCGAGGCAATCGGGCGTAAACATCGAGGAAGATGAAGAAAGGCCGTAAAGATTTCTTTGATCTAGATCTATTATTACGGAATCAACATAGTTATCACTCTAAGAACCCAAATATGTAGTAAGATATCGATAACTGCATCTAAATCGCTCGAGCCGTATCGGGGACAAATTCACTACAATCAATTTTAACGAATGAAAAATGTTTATTGCAGCACCGCCTGTACACTATGACTACTAACACCACGAAATCTATCTAAGAACCATCTACGATGAGTCACAAACCCTTTAAAGACAATCGCATCGAAATCGGTCAAACCATTTTGGAGACAAATGGGAACATACGTTTTTAAGAACACAAAAACAGCCTCTCACCCTAAACGCGTTTCTCCTTCTCCGTTTCATCGCGAGTTAAAATCGAGATTGACAATTTCAGTAGTGAATTATGCATGCTATGAAATTTAAAGCAAGCTCCTGGCTCCCGAGTTAGCAAGGCTCTATAGTTTTTGATGGAAATTTAGGGAGACTAAACTGAGATTAAATCCAACGAATTAATTTATGCTATATTATATTTGCTTTTCGACCAGAGATGTGCCCCTCACTCATGAGGTGCCTCGTTTGAGGTACTCGTGATCGCAAATTGAAAGAGTTACTCGATTTTCAACACTGAACCACCTCACTCGTTCACGCGTCCTCACTTAAAAATTGACATAGACATTATTGACACGAGTACTCGCGACTCGCGAGCATCGCGATTGAGTGAGCTTAGCGAGCGAATGTACCGACTTAGAAATCCATATTTACAGTACAGAATAAATCAGAGAATGAGTGAGGTGAGGAATCGAAATTTTGAAAACATTAAACATTATGATTGTGTTATGTACTCAATGAAATAATGATGTTTGGTGTGTGTATGTGTGTGTGATACTGATGTTTGGTAGGATGTTATTTAAATTAAGAAGAGATACAAAAAATTGTGTGAAATGAGTTGCAGGGTAAATAAAACACACGAAGCAAATAAACTGAGTGTATTAATTGAGATCAAGGATAAAAAAGTAAAAAAAATAATCGTATTGGAAAAAACGCGTTTTTCACAATCACAACAATATCAACAATTACTTCACCACACGTGCACCTCCAAGGTCAACATAGGTAAAGTAACATTATTAGTTACTCAAAACGAATTAATAGAGAAAATATTTTTATTTCTGCTATTAATATGAATCTCTAAACGTTAATTATGAACTCTAAAAACATAAGCATTAGATTTTTATTCAAGTGTCATTGATTCGTTTATTTTGGCGGAATTCATGAGCGAAAGAAAATAACGTGTGTGAGGGAGACGTAAAAATCGGAATCGTGAGTACTCGTGAGTCGACGCGCCCGTCCGCCTCGCTTGCCGCTGCCTCGGACAATCAGCTGAGTTCGATTCGAGCTCGGGCTCGGCTCGTGAGGTGAATTGAATACGCTGACGTACGATACCTCGCCTCAAATGAGGGGTCCCTCGTGAGGACCTCGTGAGGTAAAACGAGGTGCTCCCTCAACCTCATATAAAAATGATGAGTTACCCATCACTATTTTCGACAACTGGTGGGGAAAATGGTTCTCAAATGGCAGCCTCCTAGATGGAGTGACTACCTTGTAAGTTTCTTGTCGGAAGCCTATATTCATCGTAGGACTTGTAGCTGTAATGATGAGGGTGGTAATGAAAACATTGATATGTAGCTGATGCTGAAGATATTATGTGTGTGTCAGTATGTAGTGACTCCATGTAATGTATTCTTCCTTGTACTGCGTTTGTTTATAAAGACATGTAGTTATTTTTCTGAAATTCAAAAAGATTATGTTCTTAAAAGTTTGTAAATTAACTGAAACTGAAATTTCATGAAATGACCTAGAATAAAAGAACTGAATTGAAAATTAAAAAGAACCTATATTCTGCCTAACGAAGCAACTGGCAAAGAATTCGCTAATTGCGTTAAGCCACTACATATTTTTACAGAGTAATTGTTAACTTTCAGGCAAGTGGCAGATTGCCAAGAGATTTTGCTGCGCTTTATTTTACTTTTTGCCACATAATAAAATTTATTTGTATGGACAGGGTAAAATAAAAATTAGACTCACTGTAAACTTAATTCTTTATTCTTAAATTCCTGCTGGATCTTAAATAACTGGTTTGCTATATGTAATCCATAATTATTGTTTACATCATCTTAAAGAACGCGTTTAAATAAAAACTTTATGTTTAAATAAGATTTTAAGAGAAACCGAGTATTCGAACTCGTGTTGTTCTCACCAAATGTAACAGCTGTTAATATATCTAGTGAAATATCAGGTAGCTGTTGTATTAAGGTCGCTGTTTTGTAATTACTTAATTTAATTTATTACAAAACAGCACAACATTAATCACTCATTGCTATATTTCTTAGTGGTAACAATGTTTTGTGGCTGCAGTAATTCTATTTCTTTTAACGAATAAAGGTGACAAATGAGCGCACAGTTATTGAGAGTTTTCTTAGCTATGATTAAAAAAAATCTTTTCAGCCATTTGAAGATTATCAGCTCTTTTTGATATGGGGGGAACTTGCAATTGAAGTTATCGACATTAGAAATTAAAATCTATTCATTTATTGCAAATTTCAAAAGTCATTAATTTCATTAAACGGCAACATGCTTTTTTTTTCTACTACCATTTTAAGGTTCGGTTCGGTTCCTCTCCTCGGAGGAGAAACAGCGAAAGCAACTCTGAAGTTGTAATATTGTATACAAGTTGTAAGTGTAAGCACCGTTGTCACTAAACCTATTTTCTTTCATAACATTTAAAAAGTTTCTATCCGACACCGTCCGTAAATTCATGGATACCCTGAGCGTCCAAGTGACGTAATCACTGTAAAGATCACCGCCCGCGCCCTAGCTACCTACACAACATTCCAATAAAAACACAATAGGTACACATAACCTGTGATGTAACTTTTCCTTCATACTTTCATTCTGGCTTAGGACAGGCAAAAATTCCTACACTTTGTGTTTTTTTT